CTTCTTCTCCCTTTATCTCAAAGACTTGGGGGGAGAACTACCAAATTGATGGTCCACTCACCTTCCCATAAGCTCATCCCTAACCTGTACTCGTCTTACCATTACATTTTGTTCCTCTTATCACTATGTATTTTATGACCTATTGCTCTACCAATATGATCCCTAGATACTCGTCTTTTCTCTGTCTCCCATCTTCTCCCTAGAGTTGCTTCTCATTCTGACTCTGCCAACATACCCAATTCCCAGAACTGTCACTGTTGGAGAAAGAATAATATATGAAACAGAATGACATAGTTCATAAATCATATGTCAGAGTTCCATTTTGGATTTTTGGCATTTTGAGTTGATCAAAATTGCTTATATTTGATGAAACATTAGCTTAACTATGCATCAGAAAAGTCTGAATGTTCATTAACTATATTTTTAGAGTTATATTTCTTGTAACAGAACACAATTCTGTTTTTCAACAAAGCACAATTTTTTTATGGTGGAAATTTTGTAATAAAATCTATTTGCCTTTCACAAATTTATAGAATCAACTTTTAAAGACTCCTTAACAATTAGCAGTGCTTTTGGCTTCAAGAAACAGAAGAGTGAGCAGAAAAAGTGACTGCTGCTGCTGAGTCAGCAGCTTAGTGATGCTAGGTGAAGTCTGCAAGACTCTCTTGGCCTTTCTTTTAAGGGCAAATGATGGCTACTGCAGACCCGATCTTGATACCTGCCTTCACAGCAGAAAGAAGGGGACAGAATAGAAGCAGTAAAGCTGTATTTACGTGTTGTGGCCACACCTGGATGCAAGCAATCTGGGAAACTGAATAGTTTAGTTAATATTTAGTAATATTGTGCTTTATAGTAAAGGGAGACAAGTGATCAGGGATTGAAGGTAGGCATTAGATGAACCTCCTATATTAGATCTCTACCTAGTACACAATAGAATTTTCCCTCATATACCTAAACCTAATGCATCAAGAAAATTTAAACAGTGGAAATGTAACTAATATATATGATAGAGTCCCCCAAAGAAGTTTATTAAGCATTGTTCAGTCTTTATGAAGAAGTGATGGAAAGCTATTTTTATTTACTAAGAGATATTCAAGTTTAGAAAATAGACTAGGTGCTTTCACACAAACTATTGAGGTAGCTAATGTTATCCCCATTTTTACAAATTAAGAAACTGAGGGAGATGTTAACTAATTTACTCCTGATCACAGAACCTAGTAAACAAATGGGTGGGCTGTGCTTAGAATCTAGCCTTCTCTATAGCAAACTGCAGAAAATGTTGATAAATTGAGATGAATTAGAATTTATGGAAAGAATGATACGTGATAAGGAAGAGACTTAAGTACACACATGCAAAAGGTGGTATTATGTGTTATCCACATGCAGCAGCTGGAGCCCTGTAGGTCTTCTGGTAGCCCACATACTGGGATAATAATAAATAACATCTAATGAGGCTTACTCTGTACATTTTGTTTATACTCATCCATTTAATTCTTATAACAACCTTTATGAGCCTAGGTACTATTTTATGTTTAGATGAAGAAACTGAAACAGAGGCTGGTTACATACCCCATCTAGTAAGTGGCAGACCTAGAATCGAACCCAGCACTCACTCTTGAGGCTATACTCTTAACCATTATGTCATACATGCTCTCATAATAAATGATTTGTGTAAGAGAGGCATAAGGATTTTTTAAGTTGATTCTTACCTGGTTCTAACCAATCTTGGAAGAAATTTCTAGTTATTTAGTTAAAAAAGACTTTTGGTAAAATATAGTATGGAGTTTCACCAATAAAACAAGTACTTAAAGTGTCATTTTAGAAGGCAATGCATAGACTTTAAGAACCCCAAATTCAAATCTTTTAAACAAAATTGCTAATCTGTTAATAACCCCTTTTCAGCTCATGATAACTAGTTACTTATTCATAATTTTAAGAATTAACATAGAATATTGATCCAGAAATTGAAGTAAGAATGCAGCAAATGAGTATGTGAAATAATTCTGCACAGATGGAAATTATACAGCTCAGAACTTCATGATGAATCATAACTCTTGGAAGACTATTGCATTTTTCCCCAGAGTCTGTCAACAAGGGATATACAAAGTAATGTAGTTTTCATGTTCAGCTTTAACATCTGCTGCAGAGCAGTCCAATTATATTCTTTTTTTTTTTTTTTTT